GAGAGTGAAAAAATGCAGAGTTGCTAGCTAGAAGTATATTTGATTTATAGATGGATTTGGCTGATGTAAAAATATTTGTAGTAAATTAGTCTGAGTATAATCTAAAACTTCAAGAAGGCATGCATTTCCCTATTGGTACAGGATTCTTTATTAGTAAAAAATGAAATAATGCAGCCTCTGACAGTTCTTCCTCCCACACTGGAAAATAGGCCCTGCACACAGTGTTAATGACTTGAAAGAATGCAAACTTGGACGGTATTTGGAATGTAACTAGCACTCAAATACAGGTAGATGTGAAACAATCCCGGAGTTCTGATTTGGCCCAACCCTACCTTGGGTTACAAAAAAACATCTACAATGATTGGTGAGAATATTTGAGTTTTAATGTTTAATGGGAATTCTCTACTAAATATTTGAACAATGATAACACTGATTACATAGAAATAGCATAAGATTGATACCGCAGTTCATGCTGAGAAATAGAAACTACCCTGCTTCCATTCCTTGGCTCTGGCCACTTCTACCCTCATAGCCAGCAATATATCACTTTGCACTTCTTCACTTCTCTCTTCCATTGTCTCTCACTTTTTTACTCTGACACTCCGACTTCTCTCTCATAAGTCCCCCTCAGATAATCCAGGGTCATCTTTCCAGCTCAAGGTTCTTAACTCAATCACATCCACCAAGTCCCTTTTGCTATTTAACAGGTTCAAGAGATTAGGAAATGGGCATAGTTGGGGTGAGATTGGAGACCATTTTTCTTCCAATCAGAGAAACATACTAAACAGATGAGCTCTCAGATGGCAGGTTTCATACCTTTCTCATCTTCATACCACCAGGACCTAGCACAGTTATTGCCTGGCACCTAAAAGGCACTCAGCAAATGTGTAATTATTGCTTTAATATGTGTAATAGTTACTTAATATTTACTTGGTATTGACTATGTGACAGATACTTTTCTAGGTTCCAAGGGATATTGTGGTGAACAAAATAAAGTTATTTCTCTCATAGACATTTCATTCTAGTGTGGAGAGGCAGAGAGTGCACCCCAAAATGTTAGGTGCTGATAAGGATTAGGAAGAAAAGCCAGAGTAAGGAAGATAGACAGTGCCAGGAGACTATGGGAGAAGTCCTCTCAAACAAGCGGCCACTTGACTGGAGACCACAAAGAACTAGGGAATCAAGAACTAAGCGTATTTAGAAAAATATTTCAGAAAGAGGAAATGAGAAATGCAAAGATTCTGAGGTAGGAACATGCTTGGATTTTGAGATTTGTAAGAAGTAATAAAGATGCAAATGAGGCTTCACAATGAAAGAGGAGAAGATGGTAATAGACGAGGTCAGGTAGGCAGAAGGATGACAGATTGCATGCGGTTTGGTAGTCCACAGTAAAGATTTAGACTAGACTCTCAAGAAGATGGAAATTCATTACAGGGTTGAATAAAGGCTAGTAAAACCTGGCTTGTATCTTAGAAGATTACTTTGCTGTGTTGAACACTGACTGTAGGAAGGTAGGGATGGGCGGAAGGAAACAAGACAAAGCTATTGCAGTAGTTCCAGGCAGAAGTGATGGCGCTTGAATTAGTGATAGCAGTGGTGGTGATGAGAATGTGTAACATTCTGGATGTATTTCTAAGGTGTAACTCACATGATGTGGATGCTGTGTGATGGCAAGAGAGTAGTTAAGAATGACTTTAAGATTTTGTATAAAGAAATTGATGAGTGGAGGCACCATTTACTACACTGGGGAGGATTTCAAAATGAGCCAAATTTCCATTTTGGATATGTTCAGATTGAGATGCTTATCAGACATCAAGCAAAAATGCTTCAGAGGCAGGTGGACGTGGGAGGCTGGAGTGCAGGGGAGAGATTGGGGCTAGACACATACATTTAGAAATCTCACCACATAGCTGATATTTAAAACTGTGAAACTGAATGGATTCCTCAGGGAAACCATTTTGGAAGAGAATTGAGCCCAAGTGCACTCTTCCCTTTGAAGGTCAGAAAAATGAAGAGAAACCAGCAGTGGAGTCTGCAAACATGCAGGCAGTGAAGGATGAGGGGAAAGTGATGTCCTGGAAGCCAAATGAAGATATTCTTTCAAAAAAGAGTGATCAGATATGTCAACTGCTGTGATATCAGTAAGATGAGGACATTGAAATAACCATTTATCTTGTTTTCCTTTATTTAATTTGTATTTATTAGTGATAGGGTCTTGCTATGTTGCTCAGGGTGGACTCAGACTCCTGGGCTCAAGCAGTCCTCCCATCTCAGCTTCCTGAGTGGCTGGGACAACAGGCATGTGCCACTGTGCTAGGTTTAATAATCATTTACTGGTCAGGCCGGATAGTTCATGCCTGTAAGCCCAGGAGTTAGGGAGGCGGAGGTGGAAGATTCACTTGAGTCCAGGAGTTCAAGACCTGTCTCAGCAACATAGTGAAACCTCTTCATTACAAAAAAAATAAAAAATCAGCTGAGCATGGTGGTGCATGCTTGCGGTCCCGGCTACTCTGGAGGCTGAGGCAAGAGGATTGCTTGAACCCAGGAACTGGAGGCTGTAGTGAGCCATGATGGTGCCACTGTATTCATTCTGGATGACACAATGAGACCTTCTCTCAACAGAACTAAACAAAATTTTAAAAAATGTATTTTGGCATCAAGGAGGTGATTGTATTTTTACGAAGTGGGAGACAAATGCCTGCATGCAATTATTTGTGGGGCTCCAAGTACCTTTATAGTCCACCCATCGTAAGTAATCTCTTTCAACTATTCATCAATGTTTGGAAATGCAAAACTTTACACTGTACGCTTTGGGCTGACTGGTTCTAAACATTATTTTCTTGAAGTATAGTTAAGCCTCCTAGGTTGGTCTTTTAGAGTTCCTTTATTTGCAGAGCTGCAAAAATGTAGTAGTTTTAACTTGTTTAAATTTCTTACATCTAATTATTTCCATCCATTAAAAGACTAACAAGTCCATAAAAATAGAGAGATTAATGTAACTAGGAAAATTCCATCCTCTCTGGGAAAGCACAACTCAGGACAGGCAGAATAGTTTGAAAGATACCATAACTTTTTACCCGTTTTCCTTCTGGTGCTGACATAGATCAAGTATCAAATGGTCCAGGTCAGAGATTAGTTATGGGGATTCTTCAGTTAAAAATGAGGCACTTCTATGCAACTACTCTTGAGATCAATTAATATGTTAGTAGTTAGTGTTGTTTAACTGTTTATTTTCTTCCTTTTGGTTAAATCAATTATTAAAACAAAATTGGCTTACATGTGATACCGTATATCTAAATTGTGGAATCTATATTTGCTTTCTTTTGCAAAAAATATTGGAATAAATGTAGAGCCTATAAAATACTGAAACACATAGAACCAAAATCATTCTCAAGTGTTCTGCTAATGTTCATCACAGGTTCCTTAAAATACCATATTTAAATGAAAACTGTTCCAGACACTTCTTCCACATTATATTCGTGTGCTTTTTGCATTTTCTTTCTCCAAACGGAAAATTTATGGAGGGCATGGAGTGGACATATAGCAGGGAAAGTGGGTTGCACAAGGAGAGTGTAACAAATTTACCAGATTGTATTCATGATCTGAAAGTGATCTGAGAACAGAAATAAGTTTTCCTGTGCATGACTTGTTCAAGGCAAAGGATGAGTTTTAAAGAAGTTAGAATTCACCCTTGATGCCTCATACTCTTGCTGCCTGCCACTTCTCTCTAGTTGAGGATATTCTGCTTGCAAGGCTTAAAGGCATATGGTTACATATTTCATTATCTTTTGTTTGAAATTAGTTGGTTACATTTTTAATTTTCGTTATGGACTTACATTTGCTTTCTCGTTCCCATTTTATTATTTAATATCAATTATTACCAAAGAGGTTATTGAGTGTTGCTGTTAGGAGTAAGACAGATGCGATTTTAAATCCTAGCTTTGACACTTACTGGGAGATGTGTCTCAGTGGCTTGCCTTCTGTGTGCCTCAATTTCCTCAAACATAAAACATAGGATGGTGACAATTCGTACATTATGAGATTGTTGTGATGAAGATTATATCAAGCTATTTATGTGAAAAGACTAGTGTAAAATATAAGCCCTGATATATTTTAATTGGAAATTGAATAATGTATGCCTTGGAAACAAATAATAAATTCAAGAAGGGTAAGAAGTATATAATAACAAAGGAAATTTGGGTGAAACATATTTTGGGTAAGGACACTTCTCAGTTGTAAGAAGGAAGACTTTTTGATTTGTATTATACAGTGTTTAGTTCAGAAACATTTATCATTACAAAGAACAGTGTGAATTCTTAATTAGATTCCCTCACTAGGAGTTATCAAGGTAAAAGAAATGCAGAGGATTAATAACATATTAAAACTAAATGTCCACTCTCTATGTGAGTTACATTATTCCATTTCAGAAACTAAGAGATCATTTAGTTATTAGGATGAATAAATATCATATTGGACTTCTTAAATGAATAACAATTCTGCTTCCCTACTATAGAGATATTTTATCCATCTGCTTGTATGCATCTAAGTATCTATACATGCTATTAGAATTGCAAAATGCAAAAAAGTAAATACCAACAAAATCTCAATATGTGATTAAATTTAGGACATTTTTGCCTTGAATGACCTCCATACTTAATCTCAATTATTCTTTGAAATTTTAGAGAGTAATACATAACAATACACAAATAAATATATGATTTAAGCTTGAATCACTGAATACAAAATATTAATCCAAAGTGCCAGTACAAGGGTGAATTGGTTGAACAGATTGTATATGGTTGGGGACTTCCAGATGACTGTCATGCAGGCAGATGTGACTAACAGTATTGTTGATTATACACTAGAATGTTGCGGCCTAGAAATATTGCTTAAATTTTTTTCCAAGCATTTTGGTCAACCTGATATGCCAACAGTAATATATCTCAATATCTTCTGGAAGATGAAACCTTAAATCATTTAAGAACACAAGTGACAAAATTACTGTTATTAGACTTTGGTTTATTGTAAAATTTAGCAAAGTTTTTCTTTTAATCCCTGACCCATTGCTCTGAAAACAAAAGCAAAAACATAATTATTGCTTATTCTCTTCCCCCTGCTTTGTTTGTGCCACTGTAAAAGAAGGGAGAAAATCATTGTAATAAATAAAAAATAGAGATGTAACAGAGAAAAATAAATCAGTTCAGATGAGAAGTATTAGGAGCAACAGAAATACCATTAAGCAGTTTCAAAATCAGCTTCTTTTAAAAGGGTCATCTTATTAAAATAAAAACCACACCAAAAATATAGCAGCAGAGAAGGATAAATACAGGTTAATTGCACACCAGTCCCATGCAAAAAACTGTGTCACTAGCCAAAACAGTAGTATTCAGACTCCAATTTGGGACGCTTGTGTAGTGCCTGTGAGTCCTCTATTAGGGAGCTGTCACTGAATTGGTCCAAGTCTGAAGGGGTCTGGTGGCCTGGGACATCATCCGCCAATGTGTCCAGATAACTTCCCACGGAAATGCCATCCAGCCCATCACTGCCATCATGTAGGCTGTTATAGCTACCATGTAAGGAGGTGCTCTGACTCTCCAACAAACTGCACAGGCTGCCACTGAGGCTGCTGCCTCTGCTGGTGATGGTGGCTTTCTCCTCGATCATCCACTTGATGGACTCGATGCTCTCATTGATTACGAGCAACTGGCGCATGAGCCGGACATCTGTGGCTCTGAGGTTAACCTATGGAGAAGGAGAAAAGAAAGACATTCCAATTATTTGATATTCTTGAAACGCCTCAAATTCATTTGGGGACTGTCTGCTGCAGTTCAGAATTTTAAATTCACAGAATAAAATAAAAGTGAACTGGATCTCAGGAACTTTTGAAAATTGCTGACTGATGGTAGGAGTTGTAATAAAAAAGCTCACTTCCTGCCAGAGGCATCAGGCTCCAAAAGGGACAATAAAACTCCTGCTGCATCCCTGACCCTAACCAGTGAACCAAATATGTAATGGATGGCAGGTTCTCTACTATAAAATTTATTCTCTCTTTGGCCAGATCAAGTTTACTGATGTTTACACTGGAATATATATGTGAGTCCTGAGGCATGGGAAGAAAAGGAAGGTGAAGAAATTAAGGAATCATCCTCAGCATCATAGAAGCCTCTAAAAGCCTCTGGTTGCAGAGTGATAATGTGACAAGCATCCTCATAAAAGTTTAGCATTCATTAGCAAAATCCAATAACAGTGTATGACAGGTATTATTATTTGTGCCTTCATTTTACAGATGAAGAAAGATAAACCTATAGAAAAAAGTTAAGTGTACAAAAAAGGCCTGTATTCTTCATGACTATATCAACATAGTGCTGAAGAATGCTTTCGCTTTTAAGAACCAAAGCTGACACACTAGCCTGATCCAAAGTATGAGATGAAGTGTTTAAATATTTCTGTAGATCTGACTATTTGTTTCAGATATATCAGGGGCACCCCAATCAAAAGTGGGATATGAGACATTAGGAAGGTCTGAAAACTCCCCTATGTGCCTTCTAGGTGTGTGATCCTTCTGATAGCACTAAGTTACTTTAGGGATGTGTCTCCACAGCCACAAAGCAGAGTCTCTTTGCAGGCCCCATGCTAACATCAAGAGGTGATGTTTGGGGAGGTCCTGCTGTGAGAACTCCCATGATTGTTCTGTTGGAACAGAAGTGATAAGGCGCCTGAGTCCAGAGCTTGGCAGGGACATGTTTGGCCAGTAGAGGTCCTAGTCATATTCATTCTCATTCTCATTCTCTCTCTCTCTCTCTCTCTCTCTCTCTATCTATCTATCTATCTATCTCTTTTGAGGCAGAGTCTTGCTCTGTTGCCCAGGCTGGAGTGCAGTGGTGTGATTTTGGCTCACTGCAATCTCCGCCTCCTGGGTTCAAGTAATTCTCCTGCCTCAGTCACCAGAGTAGCTGGGATTACAGGTATGCACCATCGTGCCTGGCTAATTTTTTGTATTTTTAGTAGAGATGGTGTTTCACCATACTGGTCAGGCTGGTACCAAACTCCTGACCTCGTGATCCGCCCGCCTTGACCTCCCAAAGCACTGGGATTACAGACATGAGCCACTGCACCTGGTCTTCTCTATGGTTTAAAAATGGATTTCTGTTCCTCCAGTTGGGTTATTAACCCTAACGACTGACTCATGCTAATTCTTTCTTTACGATTCAGAGCTAATTCAGATTTATGTCAGTTTCTGGAATTATCAAAGACACTCATTCTTGGATGACTCCAACTGTAAGAAAGAAAAGAGCCAATTGTTTTCAAAAGTATTCATTTGTATTGTATAAATATTTCCGGGAGAGGAGTTAATCCATAACTGAAGAGGAACTTTGGATTGAGGGAATGTGATGAACAAACATTAGGAGAGATGGAATTTCCATTAATAACTCCAAGAGATGCAAGGTTGTACAGGGTTTGAAAGAATAAAACTATATGTATAAATGCAAAACGCATAAAGTACAATTTAAAATCTCTTTATTTTGCTAGAATATTGAAGTGACTTGAGTGACTTCTTCATCTTCTCTGAACAAAACACTAAAAATAAATTGCACAGAGAGTAACAGAAAAAATGACTTTTCACTGAGATGTTCATGAACAGAAGGATGTGAACTTAAGATGCCCCTCTATTTGTTGGGGCGTCTCGGTGACCTTGCAATGTCTTTATATTGAGGAAGGAAGCTTTCTGATGGTGTTTAAATTCATCCGCACACCCTATGAGCCAGGAAGACAATGGTCAAGTTACACGTAATACAACAAATATTTACAAATCACCAACAATTTTTCTGTGTCCACTGAGCAGCCCAGAAAATCAATATGAGTCAAACTTTTGCAAAATTATTCAGCAGGCATCTGTAGCTGATAAAACGACTGGCCTCTTTTAAGGCATGGCGCAATATCAATCTGACCATTTCCCAACAGCTCCCCAAATGAACCACGGCTGCATTTATTCACATCTCCACCCTCTCCTGTGAAAGTGTTCCAGCTCATGCTCAACTCTGGGCATGTTCCTCTGTCATTCTGCATTTGAGAAACGTCATTCTCTTTCTCTCCAATTTCTACCCATTCTTCAAGTCCTGTTTCTCATATCAAGCACTACTTGAGGGCTCCAGCCTCCTCTGCTGGCCCTCTTCACTACTACGGTCCTGCTAGCTTATCTCCCAGCGTAGCTTAACTTTGTAGTGTCATGTACTGCCAATGATTGTCTTTTAGCATTTTCAACTAAGCTGTGAGCTCCGTAAAGAAAGAAGCCATGACTTACATTTCTTCCATGTCTTAAGGTCTATCCTAACTAAGCATTGGCTGATTTTTGGAAATAGTCATAATTAGTTGATTTTTGGAAATAGCCATAATTTTAGGAACTGTGAAAGTTTAGCTCTTAAGACAGTGATAATACACGTTCCTAACAACTATACCACTAGGGGTTAAAACATACTTAGAATAGTTTTTTTTTTTTTTTTTTTTTGTCAGCATTTTTTTGTCTGACTTACACAGTGGCTGCATTAAGTTTTTCAGTTTTATTAAGCAATAAAAAGAAAAGAGGAGTGGACTATGAAGTAACAAAAGCTTCCTTTGACCATTAAATGACTTATTGAAATAAGAAATTTTTTTCTTTTTTTTCCCTGAAAGCAAAACATTCACAGACCATTGAACCACTGTTGAGGGGGGGAAAAAAAAAAAAAACAAAAAAAAAAAAAACGATAACAGCAAGTCGGTTAGAACGTGTTGATCTAGTTGATAATGATTATAGATTTAACTGTGTCTAACCCTGTGTCCTCCAGGGAGAGAGTAAACAGCTTCCCACCGTGGGAGCGCTGGGCAAGCCGGTTCACACGTTGGCATGTTCATTACCAGGAACTCCAGGCACAGAGAGGCCTGGGCCAGCCCAGCTGCTACACTCTGCTTTCTCCAAGCACCAAGGTGCGGTTGTGCTACTGATGACCCTTGAAAGTATAAGCAATCCACCAACGAACTAAATCACAATGACTCTTCTGTCTCTAGTACCTGCCCCGCCTTTCCTCACTGTTACTCATTTCAGTCTTTATGAAGTGTAGCCATCAATTAAGAACAGAGTAGCTTTGCTCTGGCAGCATGAAACTGTGTGGTTCCTTCTGTTGGAGTCTTAAAAGTTCCCATAACTTGACTCTGAGTAATACTAAGAGTTGGGATATCCTAAGAGTCTGAATTTAAATGTCACCTCCTAGGAGAACCTGATTCCTGCCTGATCAGTCATGATATGCAATACCCATGCCTAGATTAATATTATATTTTCATGTCTGTTGCCTTCATAATATTTCTGACTGGTTGAAAGCATACTGTTTTATCATGCATTTACTTATTATTTTCTGTTTCCCCTGTGAGCATGAAAACACCACAGAGTGCTTGGGTCTTGATCTATCCTGGTCACCACTCTATGCCAAGACCTGGAAGAGTATCTCACAAAAAGTAGGTGCTAAATTAGTACCTGTCTGACAGCTGTATAACCAACTTTGCTTCAGACTGGATTATCTGTCGGAATCTGGGTTTTGCTGTGGGTCAGTGATACGTGACTTGAAAGGAAAAAAAAAAAGTAGCTTTAGGAAAGAACATTTTAGTAATGAAGCATTCCCAGCAGATAATCCCTTCTATTCCTTCTCCAAATTCAAACACTGAGTCACTGGTGTGAGGTTATTCCTAGCTTAAATTTACGGAGCATAAGATAGTATCTCTAAAAAGAAGTGGACTTCAAGGTGTGAGTCACACTCCAAACATTATTCTGTTTGTTGAGAGGTGATAACTGGTACTAGCACAACATGGATGTTCTGTAAACACTTGGTGAAATGAATTGAACAAAGGGAACAAACAAACAGGACATGAACCAAAAACAAACATACAAAAATATAAGGTTTGGACTGATTGGTCCAAAGGTCCAAGGAGATGTATTTCCTCTTCATTTCCCCACCTCCCCTCTGGTCCTTACAGTTTATGTCACGTGGTTCAGCTTCCTGCTTAGTCTCTCAGGCTTCAGGATTGTGATGTCACAGGTCTCTCTGTATTTTAGGGAGAATACTGAGATTTCATGTCTTTTTTTTGACAGGTGATGAACTGGGTCTATGGTAGAACTAGAAATGAGGAATCTTGAAGGAAAAAATATTCTTAAAAGTAAACTTTCCCAGATATCTTTTGTCTTCTCGACTGCAGTTTTAATGCTGAAAGGATCCAAAGGTTATAAATTGGCACAATGGAATCCAAGAAAGAATGCAGTTGGATTTTTGGTTGCTAATCAAGTTGACTTCTTTGTGGTGTTGTATGAGAAACATGGTACTGACTGTAACTTCCCCATCTTCCTATGTGACCTTTGGGTAAAGTGGCTTGTTTCCTTATACATGAAGAAAAATCAGGATATTTCATTCTGAGCTGCAGTGAACCATGGGACTCAGTGGAGGTGGAAAAGTAGTTCTGTCAACAAAAACTAATCTTATCCAATAAGAAGACTGAATTCAACTTAGGCATCCACCTAACATATCTGCTTTTCATACTTATTTTCATTTCAGATGTTTAATAACATAACATTTCAGGTGTTTAATAAGATTCTACAGATCCGATAATCTCAAGATTTTCTTCCATTTTGACATATTCTCTGATACTTTTGTCATTCCTGTGGCCATTTGATTACAAAATTGTTTCTGCTATGAAAAAATTATGCAGGCTATCGAGACAGA